GATTTGGGGCTTGGGGCTCTTTAGCTTGGAGAAACGACAGCTGAGGGGTGACATGATCGAGGTTTATAAGATTATGCATGGGACAGAGCAGGTAGAGAAAGAGGTACTTTTCTCCCTTTCTCACAATAAAGGAACTCGTGGGCACTCAATGAAATTGCTGAGCAATTGGGTTAGAACAGATAAAAGGAAGTACTTCTTCACCCAAAGAGTGATTAACACATGGAATTCACTGCCACAGGAGGTGGTGGCGGCTACAAGCATTGACAGCTTCAAGAGGGGATTAGATAAGCATATGGAGCAGAGATCCATCAGTGGCTATTAGCCACAAGGTACAGATAGGAACTCTGGGGCAAGTGATGCTTGGTGCTTGGAAGGGGGGCAACAGTGGGAGGGCTTCTAGTGTCCTGGCCCCACTGATGGACCTCCTGACGGCACCTGGTATTTTTGGCAACTGTGTGACAGAGTGCTGAACTGGATGGGCTATTGGCCTGATCCAACATTGGCTTCTCTTATGTTCTTATGTTCTTATTTCTGGACCCATTTCAGTTTGACCTCAGACTGAGATTTGGTACAGAGACTGTTTTGGTCATCTTGGTTGATAACCTCTACCAAGAACTAGACAGGGGGAACATGACCCTGCTAGTTCTGCTGAATTTTTCAGTGGCTTTCGATACTATCAAGTATAATATCCTACTGAGTCACCTCTCAGTACTGGGACTAAGGGGCACTGTGTTATGGTGGTTCAAGTCCTATCTGGGAGGGGGGGTTGGTCTCAAAAGATAGCATTGGGGGATTCCTGCTTTGCCCCATGGCCATTAGCATGAGGTAGTGTAGGGTTCCATCTTATCCTCCATTCTATTGAATATCTATATGAAGCCACTGAGAGAGGTCATCAGGAGGTATGGGCTGCAGCGTCCCCAATATGCAGATGATACCCAGCTCTACCTTTCTTTCCCATCTAATACCAAGAATGCTGTTGATGTTCTGAACCGGTGCTGAGAGTCAGTAACAGGCTGGATGAGGGTGAACAAACTGAAACTCAAAGACAGACCTGGGACTTGAGATCTTTCCTGTTTTGGATGGGTTTATACTACCCTTGAAAAGCCAGGTTCACAGTTTGGGAATGCTATTCAACACAGCAGTCACCTCAAAAACCAGGTGGCAGTGGTGGTTTGGAGTGCTGGTGCATCAACTACATCCATTCCTGGCTCAGTCAGATCTAGCTATGGTCATCTGTGCCTTAGTTACTGTTGGAGTTTGCAAGTTCTTTCCCTGAAGTCATGGAAGAATTTACATGTTTGTTTATGCTGTTTAGAGAGAGACCCAATCGCAAACCATGCATGTATTTGCCTCTAGAGCAAGGTGTTAAAATGCATAATTAGTTAAGTTTGGGTTTCTCCAATTGGGTAATCAATAGATCAGAAGATGTCCCAGGGTGGACACTTAGAAAAGTTTATTGCTCTTTGTCTCTAACTCTGTCTGGGGCTAGCACATGTGGTTTAGACTTTAGAGAGTCAAGATGTAGATTAGTATAGTCAAAGAGGATGCTAATCCTTTGTTTTTGTTTGCAGTATTTCCCAGTAACTCTTCCCTCATTAGTGGTGTAAACTTTCTTGTTTAAAAGCTAATACAAGTGTTCTACTGCATTTATTTTCTCTGCTTTTTTACACTGAAATCCCTAACAGTTACATCTAGACTGGACTATTGTAATGTGCTCTACTCGGGGCTTCCTTTGAAGAGTGTTCAGAGGCTGCAGCTGGTGCAGGAAGCTGCAGGTAGACTGCTGGTTGGGGCCGGCTACTGGGAACATACATCCCCAATACTGGCTACTGATCTACTCCCAAACCCAATTCAAGGTGTCAGTTTTAACATTTAAGGCCATACATGGCTTGAGACTGGAGTATCTAAAGGACTGTCTTCTACCATATTGTTAAATACTGGGTACTAGACGCATTGCAGTGATCAGCTCTAGTTTATTAAGTGATTTCGGCAAACTACAAGGATAGCTAGCGGGGCTTGAGCCCTGCTTATAAAGCGTGCAAACACCGCACCAAACACCCCCCCACTTCCAGTGAGAGGCTATTTACATTACACCGCTTTTCTATTGGTTTGTTCCTGGATCCAGGCGAGCTGTTGTTCTAGAGGAGCAAGCTCCACCTGTTCTTGGTACAGCTTGAGGAATGGCTTTAGGCTCAGTACATAAAACATAGGTTCCTGCCCAAGAATTAAAATCACAGGGAGAGGCCCTGCTGACTGTCTTATTTGGTGAGTGCACATGAGAGGCAGCCCCACAATTATGGAACAACCTTCCCAGGGAGGTGCACTTGGCCCCGTCACTTTCAGTCTTAGAAGGCAGTTGAAGACGGTTCTATTTAAGACCGCATTTGGTTAAATCTACTAGTAGTCTTGGGTTGTGGTTTTAAATTTTCAGTTTTATGTTTTTAATGTATTTTATTATGTGTTTTATCCCTTTTGTAAGCAGTCTTGAGCTCTGTAAGGAAGAAAGGTGGCTAATAAATGCTTTAAAAAAAATAAAATAAATAATACCGTGAGCTAGTTTTAGTCACTGTTTCTATAGTTCTTGTTGCATTGTTTTAAACTGTATGATCTGCCTTAAGTCTCAGCAAGAAAGGTGGACTATAAATGAAGTAAGTAAAGTAACAAACCATTCTAGTGTCCACACAGAATGTGAACTTCTCCTTGATACTCTCAGTAAATCTGCAGACCCAGCCCTGATGCTCCCCCCTCCCACTTATAAGCACATGTGCTCCTTCTCCTGGCACCACTGTGCAGTCATGGGGTAGCTGAAGAACAAAGAGAGACAAGGGCAGCCCCGGGGGGGGGGTCTATTAAGCCCTTAACCACCCCCCTCTGATGCCAGCACACCTACACCCCAGCATCAGGATGAGTGCATCCAGGGCTCTTTTTGGGCAGGAAC